CATCCCGTGGTTCTGTTACCCTAGGCCGTCCAGAACCGTGCCTTCTATTGTAAGTACCAGTTTCCCGAAAAACTGGTACTTACAATCTCGTAATGTTTCATATGGAACTCCGATGGCATTAGCTGCATATCTAATGGAACGTCCATCATCAATAAGTGCCACACCACGCGCAACATCCTCAGCACTAAGAGGAATTTTTAAACTTCATATTGAAAAAATTAAAAGCCGGATACTAAGAAATGTACTGCAAGAAACGGCACTGAACTAATGATACTGAATAAACATTTTGATTCCATAGAAAGTAAACATTGGAATCTAGAATCATTTCACTGAATTAAGGATTAAGGGTTACTGTCCTCTATATTAACATTCCTAATTGAAAACAAACAAAAAGATTACCTATTCATTAAAAACAATAGACCAATCCAAAGCAGAAATATTTTTAGATGAAAACATGAAAAAATCAAGTGGGTGGAATTTTTTGCCTGTCAGTGTATATGTAATGCATAGTAAGTGTAAGTATTGCGATCTTGAAAATTTTCGAATCTGGCTTTTCAACAGAAATACACCTTTTGAGGTCCAAATAACCCCTGAAAAATGGTCAGTGTGTCCGTGTGTATAAATAGTGGGGAGATAGTGCCCCGGGCACCGATTTTTTGTAACTTTTCTGGTTTAATCGATATATGGGAAGACTATTAGGTTTTGGGGAGCGCTTTTTATAAAAATAATGTCGGATTTGCGATAGTGTCCGCGGGTACCGACTTTTTGTAACTTTTCGGATTTAGGCGATATATGGGTCGAATATTAGGTTTTGGGGGCCACTTTTTATGAAAATAATGTTTGATTTGAGATAGTGCCCTCGGGTACCGCCTTTTTGTAACTTTACTGGTTTAACCGATATCAGGGTCGACTATTATGTTTTGGGGGGCGCTTTTTATTAAAAAATTTCGGGTTTTAGATAGTACCCCCGGGTACCGACTTTTTGTAACTTTTAAGATTTAATGGATATCAGGGCCGACAATTAAGTTTTGAGGGGCTCTTTTTATAGATTGTCTTTTTATAGGGGCTCTTATAAAGACAGGTCTTGGTCTTGCGCACTGACTTTGGTTGACTACCTTAAACCTATCAGTATATGCTCTTTTTATAAAAATATACTGATAGGTTTAAGGTAGTCAACCAAAGTCAGTGCGCAAGACCAAGACCTGTCTTAGACTTCCATTTGGGCAACACTTATGCAAAGCGATGCTACTTAACCCCACAAGAAATTTCAATGTAGCTATTTGATTTTAGTTGGATGGAAACTACAAGTATATTCACAATATCTCTAGAATAAAAATATAAGTAATAGCATATACCAAATCTGAGTACCAAATACAATTACTAGTCTGTCAGTCCATCATCTCACTAAATAATTCCTCACCCTAATACCACGGTAAAATACTTCTAAAGGGTAAGGACTTGTATATGTCAGGAGTTCAAGGGGTTTGCATCACCTCTTGTTAGACCAATAGGAGCACTTCTCATTTCATACCCACCGCTCAATATATGCCACTCATAGGAAGCTAGATAATGCCTACTCCTACGTTAAATCAAAGCAGGTAATAAAATAATATAAAATATTTTTATAAGCTCACAGGAGTAAGAAAACAGCCGAGCGGAAAACAATCCTAAAATTTCAATTTTATTTTTTCTATTATTCATGTATTTTATAGCTGTATTGTTTGCAACAATAAAGTATTATTATTTGCAACAATTTGCATTATTTCCTAAGCTTAGGGTTATAATCAACTAAGTGATTACTAGAAAAATAATTTAAAATCAGTGGATAAGGTAAGAAAATTGGAAGTTGAGTGATTGCTAAACATTGTTTAGAAAAGAAAGAGATGAAAAAGATTTTAGTAAAGGGTAAGCTTTCAAGCACAAATATAATGTATAAAGAACAATGCTGGCATGTGATTTATGGGTTTGGAGGGCAGGATCAAGTGGAATGAATTAAAAAGGGAAAGAATAGTTTAAATTGCTTTGAATAAATGCTTTGATACGGGACCTCCAGCACTGGGCTAATCACCCGTCTGGAGAATCAACGATTCAAAGCAATTTAACTAGCCTCAGATGCGGACTGTCTTCAAGGAAACAACCTGCTGCACTAAGGGATATACAAATTGGAATGTGGAACATAAAAATTTTAACTGGGAAGGAGGTCGAGCTGGTGGAGGAAATGAGGACCTACAAAGTAAAATCCTCAGCATAAGTGAAGTGAAGAAAAAGGGCAGTGGAGAAATGAAATTGGCTAATAATTACTCCCTAATTTATGCTGGAGTACCTAGAGGGGTTTTCGCCAAAGAGGGAGTGGGCCTAGTAATGTCGCCTAATATGTATGATCATTTAGAGGACTGGGAGCCGATATCTCCAAGAATGATTGTAGCAGATTTTAAGATGACCATAGGTAAGATTTCCATAATCCAGGTTTATGCACCAACAGAAGATGCTAGTGTTGCAGACAAGGAGGCATTCTACTCGGATTTGCAAAAAATAGTGGATAAAGCTAAAGGAAAAGGAAGGTCAGTAATCCTGAGTGGGGACTTCAATGCCAGAACAGGAAATGATGAAAGATCTGGATATGGAGTTTTGGGGCTGCATGGAGGTGAGAATGTGAGGAATAGTAATGGACAACGGCTAATACACTTATGCGTACATAATGACTTCCTCATAGGAAATTTTTTCTATCCACACAAGAGAATCCACAAAATCACTTTCTCATGCATGGAACGAAATAGTATAATGACTATTTCATATATGATAGGAACATAAGGCAGTATTTCACTGACATAAAAGTAGTAAGAGGAGCGGAGATAAGCAGCGACCACCTTTTACTTGTGGCTGATACAAAGATCATCCCGGAGTATAAAAGGAAAACAAAAGTATTCGAAACCCTCAACGTAAGAGCCATGGATGACCCAGAGAAAAGGGCCCTCTTTATAGAAAGCCTGGAAAATAAATTAAGGGAAACGTCATTCGATGGAGATGTGGAAGGCACTGAAAACATGTATTCTGGAAACAGCAAATACAGTTTGTGGGAAGAAGAGAGTGTCTGGTAGGGGAAAGCGGACAGACTAGTGGACCAATGATCTCCAACGACTGGTTTCTCGGAAGAAGCTTGCCTGGAAAGCATACCTTAAGGATAGAACTGAAGGAAAGCTACACTTATACCGAATAGCCAGGAATGAATGTAAGGTAGCCATACGCCAGGCGAAGAAGAAGTCGTGGGAGGAGTTTGGTAAAAGGCTGAGCGAGGATCAGCGCGAATCTATCAGAACATTCTGGGGAAAAGTTAAGATGTTAAGAGGAAAACAATGCAAGCCTATTAGAAATGTAAAAGGTAGCGATGGAATCCTACTTACAGATAAGGAAAAGATCCTTGGCAGATGGAAGGAATATTTCCAGGAACAATTCTCCGAAAATCCAGAAACAGACCATTACCAAGAACAAGAGCCCAATATTCAAGAAAACCTGGAGGTTATAGAGGAAGAAGAAATAGAAAAAGCAATCCATAAGCTAAAAAGAAGTAAGGCATCAGGAAGGGATGGAATAGCACCAGAATATTTAAAATTCGGTGGTCAAGAACTTCTTAAAGCACTACAATCGCTGTTCCAAGAAATATATGACAGAAAGAAAATTCCTATGGACTGGGAATATTGTATAATCCTCCCGATTTATAAAAAGGATGCACGACAGATTGCAAAAATTATAGACCCATTAGTCTGCTATCAGTGGTCTATAAACTTTATACTTCTATACTAGAAAGGAGACTCCGACAGATTGTGGGAGGGCAGTTAGAAGCGGAACAGGCTGGTTTTCGTCCAGGCTGACAGAAGCAGGACGCCCCAGAATCACGTTCCAGGAGTACATTCAAAGGATTGGATGTAAAAGAGGCAAAACTCTTAATGAGATGAAGCGACTAAGCAGGGACCGGGAAGAGTGGTTACGCTGGGTTAAGGCTTCTCGACACTAACTGATGGCATAAGAGGAAGACAAAGAAGAAGAATAGTTCAAAACATGTTTAAAATTTATTGGACAACCACAAACATGAGAATAAGGTAGACCATAATTTAGGAAGACAAAAGCATTGGATATAATATAATAAAATTAATTTAAAAAACGGGTAACTATAAAAAAAAAAAGGTATTGAGTTTAGTTTAAAAAAACAAGGAAAACAGTGTGAGATGTGAGTATATCTTAAATTTATAAAGTATTCATATTTATTTATTGAAAAGTTATTTATTCAGTACAAAACCAATATGAAAATAAATATTATCAAATGTTATGCATTATAAATTAACAGTCTAGTAATTGACATAAGCTATAAATGCCTATCGATTTTATCGACAAAATATTAAAGTTAAGTATTAGTAATACTCCATGAATTTTATAATCTAGGTAAATATAATAGATTAATAATAATAAACATTAAACAAACATAGCACAAGTTCACTAAATAGATTATAAATAAGAAATACAATAGTTATAGTTCAGTATATTTACAACTTAAAAATAAATTAAACCTAAATATCACATCCTGTAAAATGTAGAATGGTAAATAATATTTTAACTATGAAAAAACAAAACAATAAATACAGTATAAAACTTCTAATTCTATCTATATTCAAAATACAAATAATTGATCATGATTAAAATGTAAACAAAAAATGAAATGTATATCACAGAAAAATTTAAACGTATTAAGATACGTGTTTAATGGAAAACCATACAAACAATAGAAAAACTAATTATTAATACTAAAACTCCTTAGTAAGTAAAACACTCACACAAATATACTTTTAATGAATATTAGGCAGTCTCGTCTTTCGAATAATTATGTTATTTCAGAAACTACAATCATATAAGTATATCAAGTTTAAAACTTGAAGTCTATAATTTAAAAAAAATAAAATCACAATATAAGATTGCACTTGTTCAAGTATACTAGCAAAGAGGTAATATGAATTTCTTAACAGGGATTTAGTAAGCAATATTTAAGAATCTCTACTGAAAAATAATAACATGAACTATATGTATCATTATTACTAAAACAAGATTTTCAGAATAGCCTGTATAGATTTAACTTTTTCATAATTTCAAAAACAATTACCAAAAATGTCGAACAAAGTAAAGTATAACAGATCTTTAACTAACTATATAATAACTAAAATGCATAACTTCATGAACATTATATCAAATGACTATCCAACAAATATCTTTATGTTTGAAAGAATTATAATCAGAACCTAATATTAGAAAATATCATGCAGTAAAAATTCTTCGCCTACATGGTTACACTAGGATAAAAAAATAAAGTAGAAATGCACAATAAATCAGGAAAAGTATACCAAAATAAAATCCTTCTCGACTGAGTTTAATTATTCAGTATCCTAAAACGAAATATTACTTAACAAAACCTGTCCATAACTATTAAATAAATTTTGATAATTATAATTATTGATCCTATCCACTGAACCTGTCAAATTCTTAACTTATATTTATATTACCATACATAGGTACTCTTTTACAGAATACTATACCAACATACTGTAGCTGTAAACCCCAAAAATGTTATATACATCAACTGTAAGATCTGAAAAGAAAAATAAGAAATAAATGTAGTAAATTTCACACTTCAATTGTGATAAAAAAATAGTCCCTACTAACCATTATCCTATTTGTATAGATTTATAACTATATATAACTATTAATTAATACTTCATACACAACCAAAATAATTGATTAAAATTGATGACTTTGATGGAACTGCAATAATTTCAATAAAAATTACCTCTGGGCTAATGCCAACTCATAGCCTCCTTTAGACTGCATTTGCTTTTGGATAGCCCTTAGCTGGGAATTGACAAGTTCAATATCACCAGACCCGATATGACCGGTATGCTGAAAATTAGTTGGTTCTCCAATCATGGATCTGTCAATCCTAGCATGTCTTTGATTTCTTTTCTGAAACATAAAAATAATAAATCACCTAAAAATCATTCCATTGGCGTAGGGAGGTGGCAGTCCCATCGCCCGGTCATTGTACCGCAACCAGCCACTGGCCCTCCAGGTTGGGGGAACACTTACACGAACACTCACACACCAAGTACACTTTATACAGCACACTACAACACCTAAACACTACAGACAAAGGTCACCTACAGTACACACCCTAGGGTCACCTTCCCTAGGTAGCCGCCCCGGATGGGGGAGCTAGTCAGGATGCTCGGAGGAGGCAGCCCCTCTACCTGACTGGGGGGCAGTGGGCTGATAACCCACCCCCCCTAAAGTACCTTATTACGAAACCTCAAAGAGAAGAAGCCGGACTGAATTACGGTAACAGACCCAGGAAACGCCTAAATGACCTAAGAATTGGATTTTGGAACATTTTATCATTACATAGACTAGGAGCACTTCGTGCGCTCCATGCAGAAGTGGACACATACAGAATCGACATAGCAGCTATCCAAGAGGTCCGATGGATAGGACAGGGAATTATGGAGAAGAAGTACCATACACTCTACTATAGCTGCCATGAAAAGCATCACGTCTTCGGTACCGGATTTGTTGTGAGAGGCAGAGCTCGACAGCTGGTGATGCGATTTACTCCCATTAACCAAAGGTTATGCTACATTCGGCTTAGAGGAAAATTTTTTAATTTCTCTCTAATTAACTGCCATGCCCCAACAGAGGTGTCACCTGAGGAGGATAAGGAAACATTTTATGAAGAACTTGGACGCGTGACAGAAAGCTGCCCCAAAAATGATGTTAAAATCATTCTTGGTGACTTTAACGCCCAAGTTGGTAAGGAGGTGGCACTCATGCCGACCATAGGAACCCACAGCTTGCATAAGACCAGTAATGATAATGGGCTACGGATGGTGAACTTTGCTACATTGCACGGACTGGTTGTTGGAACAACTCTTTTTCCTCGAAAGAATATCCACAAAGCAACATGGATCTCTCCAAATGGGCAAACATCACAGATAGACCATGTACTCATTAGTGCCCATCACAAGTCCAACATGATAAATGCAAGATCTTATAGAGGTGCAAATATGGACACGGATCACTATTTGAGCATTGCCGAGGTCAGATCACGAATTTCGCTGATTAAAAACCACCACCAATGACCAAAGAAGAAGATTGATGTAGCTAAACTTAAGGACTCAGACCACCAATATTCGTATCAACAAGCTGTGGAGACGAAACTTAATGAAGATGTAATTAATGACAGCTCTATGGTCGATGAACAGTGGAAGAGATGCAGCAACGCAATGAAACAGGCAACAGAAGAATCTCTTGGCTACGAGACTAAATCTAGAAGGCCTCCATGGTTTGATGCTGAGTGCCTTCCAGCAGTAAAAGTGAAAAATGAAGCCTACAGAAAGAAGGTTCAGAGTCCCACAAGGCTCTCCCAAGAAACATATCAAAGAAAAAGATGCGAAGAGAAGAGATTATTCCGCGGAAAGAGAAGAGCTTGGGAAAACAAGAACATGGAGGATATAGAGGCATTGCGCGGCCAAAATGAAAGTCGGCTGTTATTTCAGAGAATAAACGAGGGTAGGGCAGCTTTCAGGCCCAGAGTGACGGAATGCAAAGACACGAATGGATCTCTTTTAAGCCACAAAGATGACGTACTAAGGAGATGGGTACAACATTTCAAAGATACATTAAACAGAGGAACGGTGCCTGGAGAAGTAGGAGTAATGAAGGAAGACTCCCTGAATTCTATTGAACACCCGGATGAGGAGGGAATGGAAAATGCCCTGAGGAAATTGAAAAATGGAAAGGCGCCAGGTCTGGACGGAATCCAGTCAGAGCTGTTGAAATGTGGAGGTGAAGAACTTAAGAAAGCTCTGCATGATTTAATGCTGACCATCTGGGAGAGGGAAGCTATGCCTATGGAATGGGAAACAGCCATTATCTGCCCAATACATAATAAAGGAGATCAAACAGAATGCGCTAACTATCGAGGAATCTCACTCCTTTCGTGTGCTTATAAGCTGCTCTCTAACATTCTTTTTGAGAGGATTCTCCCGTATTCTGAAAAGGAACTGGGGAAATATCAGGCTGGATTTCGAAGAGGACGCTCAACCACTGATCAACTGTTCTCTCTGAGGATGATCCTAGAAAAGACTATGGAGCATAAGGTAGTCACCCACCATTTATTCCTAGACTTTAAAGCAGCATACGACAGCGTTGATAGAACGCAACTATACTGTGCCTTGGAGGAGCTAAGCACCCCTCAGAAGCTCGTACGTCTAATCAAGATGACCATGGACAGCTCGAGATGTAGAATACGCGTCGGTTCTGACGACTTCGAAGAGTTTAAAGTGAGCAGTGGGGTTAGGCAAGGGGATGCCCTCGCCTGTCTATTGTTCAACTTGGCAGAGGAGAAAGCTGTAAGAGACTCCGGTATTCAGACCAAGAATATAATCTTCAATCGCCTGACACAGCTTCTTGGTTTTGCTGATGATATTGACATAATAGGTAGGTCTGAACGGGCTCTCAGAGAAGCGTTTATAGGCCTTGAAGCAGCTGCAAGACCGCTTGGTCTAGAAGTCAACGAGAGGAAAACTAAGTATATGAGAGTTGGTGGTGAGGTGGATCTGAACTCTCCATTTGAGGTAGGTTCTTTTAAGTTTGAGAGAGTGAAAAGTTTTATATACCTTGGGTCTGAATTAATAGCAAAAATGACATGGCTCAAGAAATACAAAGAAGGATCACGGCTGCCAATAGATGTGTCTTTGGACTCGGCCGACACTTAAGAAGTAGGTACCTCTCAAAGAAGACCAAGCTGATCATATACAAGACCCTTGTTCGGCCTGTTTTGACATATGGCTCAGAGGCTTGGACGATGACCAAAAACGATGAGATGAAGCTGAGTGTGTTTGAGCGAGGAGTCCTCAGAAGGATTTATGGTCCAGTAAAGGAGGGTGATGTCTGGAGGAAAAGAAAAAATAGGGAGCTCAGTTCTCTCTATACAGACATCGACGTAGTCATCTATATTAAACTGGCCAGACTAAGGTGGGCAGGGCATGTGGCCAGAATGAGCACCGTTGAAATACCAAAGAAAATAATGATGGAGGAGCTGCATCTCGTAAGACGGGTAGGAAGGCCGAGGACGAGATGGTTGGACAACGTGGCCTATGATGTGAGAACCCTGCTTGGTGTACGGAACTGGAGAGCTGCAGCAGAAGACAGAGCCAACTGGCGGAGGCTCTTGGAGGAGGCCCAGTCTCGGTAACGGGATGTCGTGCCACACATGATGATGAAAAATCATTCCATGTAAATAATCTAATATGGGTGGAATATTAAAAATAATGAGATTCATAAAAATGAGAAATAGGAGTTAAAAGTATAATGAATTTTACTTTTTAAACAATATTCTACTTATAACAGAAGAATTCACTAAAATTTATTGTTATTGTTTTATTGAAATTTTTAAAGAAAAGGCTGAAGTATCATAATATACTAGGATATATTCATATCAATTTGAAAAATGATCAATTTTATATTACAGATATAAAAAAAAAACACTGATTTCCTGTACTAAATCCAAGAAGACAGGGAGCTAAACAATAACCTTAAGTCTACAAAACATTCCATTGGTCAAAAAATTTCAATATTTATCAAGCAAATAATGTTGGCTACATCTATTTATTTAGTAAACTTTTCTTTGTTTTTTTTTGTAGGCATAATCAGAAATTTCTCTGATTGTTCCTAGTTCTCCATGTCTTATATCCATACTCAATATCTACATACTCTGCATATACAATGCAAAATAAAATACTAGAGCACATCACATTAAAACACATCTTGCACATATGGTATTCAGCTTCATTATTTGAAATGTTTGATTAGCTCCAGGAACAGTTTTTTATTTTTGCATTGTTTTATAAGAAAAATTTGTGATGAAGCAGTGCAGGCCATTAAAGATGATGTAATAATAAACTATTGGAAATTATCAGTCAGTCTCAAAAATAACTTAAATAATAGTTATGACTTATAAGATAATTCTCAAGAAATATATGTAGAATAAGATTAAATATAGCTTAATTTATAATCATTGAATTATACCTGTTGAGGAGGTTGATTAATGCAACAAGAGAAAATCTGAAACCATAAATCACTACAAAGATCTCCAGATTGGTAACCACTTGCCATTGCTGCAACAAAAGCCTCACTTTAATTACATATTATACATGTTTTAACAAATAGAAGTAATATTTTCCAAAATTTTAATTTATATTATTTTTAAAATGAACCGAAAAATTGTTAACATTCATTGGCTTCTAAAGTCATAACCAGTTTGTAAACATGTATATGATGGTCATTTTCAATAAAATCAGATACATGAGAAGAGAAAAACATTTTACTATCAAACGGGTAACTGTATTGGGTATAACTGCATAACTATATTGGATTATGACCTCGCAGCACAGTTTAAATTAGAGATAGGCAGATGAATTGAGAATCGAATCAAAGAATAAATTCCTCTGAAACAATCATCATCTCAAATGATTCACACAAAAGAATCACAATTCACTTGGAAATGGTAGATTCACTGAATCGGTCAACTTTCAATTCTTGAAAATCAGAGAAGTGGGAGTGAAGTTTCGAGTTGATTCTGGATGACGCCGCAAGAACACTCACTCAGTTCTACACCGAAGTTCTAGGAAATCTTCCAATCGTGTACCATTGTTTACTTAGTTGTTTTGTTTAGTTTTGGAATCTACTCTCTCTTACATGATGATCATTTACCACTTCGAACATTTATAGTCCATGCTTATTTACATAACTATTTTGTTTATTTCTTTATTTTTTCTTTCTTTTTGGTTTATATTTATATATGTATACAGTTTTTTCTTTCATGTACTTTTACTTTTAATTGCATATTATTTTGTAAATATTTAATTTAATGTATGACCACACTATATTGTTTAATTATTTTGTTATTTACAATGTTTTCTAATGGCACATCAATCCCAGGTTGATAAAATTATTTTTCATTTCATTCACAACTTAAATACACACACCAAAATCTTATATGTAAAATTAAAATTTTGGGTCCAATTTAAACTTCTTTTCTACTTATAAAATTCATAACTTTTTATGTGTATATATTTGAACCAGGACTTTTAATTTAAATCAGTTAAAAAAAAAAAAAATTGTATACCTGATAATTTTAATAAAATATAATAAGATTGATTATTTTCTTTTAATAACTAAGATATAGCCAAAAATAGTCATTGACGAACCAAATTGAAAAAAAATTATTAGTAGATACAAAGAAAAGATATTTATTTCTTGTAAACCAATAATCTTTTTATTTCCAATGAGAATTTATTTATAAGGAAATCAGCAAATCTAGGTGCCTAATGGTATACAAAGGAAAACAAGTCAAGATTATTATGAGAAAAACTGATTTTAAGTTATTTCCATAGCATTTATGGACAAGGTGATGGAAATGAGAACATATATTCAAACCTCTATAGGAGTAATATAAAATAAAATGTCTATACAGGGTGAGTAGGAAAGAATGGACAAAACTCCAGGAGTGGGTCACACAAGAAAAAATGATAAAAAAAAATCATAAATTCTTATCTGATTTTCTAATTACGAATAAACAAAATTCTATACTATGATAGCATTTCAGTATTGGCATTATGATTTTGTTTAGAACAAGTTGTAAATAGAAAGTTACATATGTTAATTCTGCCAAGTAATCATCACGGTGATTTAATTCATATTTCTTTTTATATTAATAAATCTTACAAAATACCATAAATATCAGTGACCAAAAAACTAATTTAAATCAAAGTAGTCAGTCTACCATATTTGGGCACCATTTTGGGACAGAGCGGCCTCTTTATTTGTGGGAACATTGACTTTTTTAGAATTAATAGTAAAGGAACACACAAATGTGCACTTCATAGGGATGTAGGAGGTAGAAGCAGGGTAGGAGGGTCTGGCCCACTGACAGTATGAGGTATCCTTTTTTCCTTTAATGTTTACAGGGCATAGCAGAATCCAAGTTGTGTCTAAAGCATGAACAATATGCAACATGATCTCTTAAGTAAATGAAGATTATTTCAGGATGTGGTTTGGTAAATTTTTGTGAGAAATCTCTCTCAAGGTAGACAGTACTCATGCAATATACCACTACTATGCCAATCATTATGGAAATATCCTAACCAGAAGAGAAGTTCTGTGGCATATAATTTTGCAGAGTAGCTAGTTGATCATAAGATTTCCAAGATCACAAAGAACAACATCAATGTGAGCAAGTTGATTACATGGAAGAGGAAATAAAAGATAATCATGCTAAAGACATTAGAGCAGCAATTATGAGTAATCTGAAAGTAAGAAAAATCAAAGTGGTCATTTTGATCAGTAAATTCAAGAGAACAAATTGAATACACCAATAAAAAAGTCTGTATGTCTTGTGAAAATCCATGCTGAAGAGATACCTATTCGATCCTGAGATGATTTTCTACCACGGTTCTTTCCACATGAACCAATAAACTTAAAAAGAACTTAGTTTTTGAGAATTTGTTCTCCTCTTTAACATCTTTTATTCCACCGCCATATTTGACTAAGAAATGTTAAAATTTCGAATTTATACAAAAATTAAAAATTGTAAAATAAAAAAATATGGATGTGTGTGCACACATACACTTCACTGAGATTGTGATTCTATTCGTACACTGAAAAAAATATTACAATAAAAACTGTAAAATAAATAGCACTAGATTAAATATTTGTAGAAGTTCGCAGGAACGCATCTAGGATTTCTGCCAGGAGGGGAAAACTTTATATTGCCATCCCACACTAAAACTCTTAGGAAATGTATTTCAAAATTAAAGTTAGCAGACAATATTAACTCACAAATAATAATATTAACTGTCATTGGTTGAATTAATGTAATAATAATCAATAGTAGAAAATATTTATTATGTCAACCAAAGAAAACTAATTTCTCAAAATTTGCCACCCTTTTAAATTCTGGTTACAGGACAGATGCCCCTCCCTACTTCCAGCAGTGTAACCTCCTGTTCCATAAGTTCTTGATTACCAAATTTACAGCCATTATATTTTTAACAATTACATAAATTTCCATAATTCAATAGAATTTTTAAAAAATTATAATATAACATTAGTACACAATTCCTCAACTTCTCTTCACTTTATGAGAAACCATTTAAAAAAATTAAGGATATCAAAGAAAATACATTTGCACGACCATAAATGAAAGTAAGGAATAGAATTTGATAATAAAATTTATTAATACTAATCCACAAGTGTCACATTTGGATGACAAGCGGGCTGAAATCGTGTAGATCACACTGTCCATACATTGGCAAAAGTGTGCCCTTAAGAGTACAGAGGCTACTTATCTCCAGGCTCCAGAACTACCTGTGATTCAAGGAGGTGTCATTTTTGTCCCTATCACCTTTACTTCTTCCAATAAATAAATACAAATAACAGTGTAACTGACTTACAATTAATGTTTAGATTATATTCCATGAAGATTACCAAATATCAAAATAATCATAATTTTTATGATTTCTTCTGGAATAAAAAGATAATCATGGCTCAAGTGCTTTTTTTTTCATATTTAGGTACAATTACAAAGTAATAAATCCATTTGAAATAAAAATGATTTAACAGGGGAAGCAAATAAATAGATAAAATTAATACACAAACGCAGTGATATTATGAGTAAACAAATACAATATCGCCTACAGAATCCAATACTGATTTCAAATAAGGAAACCATTGATAATCAGGGATATAAACGACTGTAAAATGATTGAGGAATATTGATATTAAGGATGACTGTGATTTTATAAATAAATCACTTGAAGAGCTATAACTTACCTAGGCAGTAACTGATGACAAACCAGTAAAGTAATAAAGAATCTTTAAAGAGAAATAAAAAGAAATCAAATGAATTTAGAAACTACAAGCAAAACATTAGTTGTCACACAGCTTTTCAAATGTGATGGGCATAACTTATCTGGAACAGATAATGATAATAAATGCTTTTTATCTCAGGATTATTTATTATATCAATGCAATGATAAAAAATAGTAAAATACATGCCAATTTCATAAAAGTTTAATAAATGATCTTATCAAACGAAACATTTAAGAAAACACACATAGCAACGGCCAGTTCAAACCAGTGTCCTATATACTAACAAAGAATGGCAGTCATGAGGTTATAGCAAAGAGGTATATGAAGTCGAATTCATGTTGATTAATAAACATTGAAAGAAGTATAGAATGATTGAAAAAAATAGGTCATTATCAATCATAATACCTCATTATCAGACTTACATTCAAATATAATAACATTACATACTACACAGTGATTTTTAAAGTAATGTCAATTTTATCATACCTTGTCACGTATTTTCCACATCAAATAAAGGCCATAAACGAGGGAGCTCCATTACTATCCTCTTCATTTTTCTAACTGCAAATAGAAACACAGATGTCAAACTGAATTTAAAAATATATATGAATAAGCAAAAATAAAAACGAACGAACGTCTACCAAACAACAACAACGAGTAACCAAAACTCCTTCCATTATTCTGTTCCATTCTACTTTATCCATGGTTTTGGTGACCATCATCTTAATTTAGCTGTTGCTTTCTGCATCATCCAGTCTTTCGCGAGGTTTACCTCTCCTTCGTCAACCTCCGGAATGACCATAATGTTAAAAGTAATTTTATTAATATTAATTACATATCGATCAGGTGTTACATAGATTAAATAAAATATATATATATATATATATATAACACATATGTTCAGTTATAACCCTGTTTTTTCTATTATGTTGTGTTGTTAGTGCACTAGCGGATCCAGGATTTAATTTTGGGGGGGGCTTCAGCCCGAAACCTTTTTTTTCATAAAAATAACGATAATTACTTTGGAAAAACAGAAAGAAACTAACTACCTATATGAAATGGTGTTTAAGCTATTCCTTAAGTACTTTTAAATGTAATTACACGAACAATAATACTTTAAGAGGTAATTTTTAAATTTTTTTTCCCATAAAACATGGTTATATTTTTCCATTTTGGGGGGGGGGGGGCTTCAGCCCGAAAGCCCCCCCCCCCGTAGATCCGCCCGTGTGTTAGTGTAATAAAGATTGATTTCCTATGTTTCAAGAAGGTTTGTTGTTTATTCAATGCCTTGCACTTAATAAAAAAAACCCATAAACCATTTATAAAATCAACAGATTATGGGCCCAGGACATTCTGCAAATTAAGAAAAGTAACAGAAAGTAAAATTGTTACGTGGTGAAGTAAAATTAAAAGCAGAAGTGATTAAGTAGATGTAAGGTAAGATTAACAATTATATTTACATATACTTAAAATGTCAGAATCAGAAGACACCAAATTCATAGAAAAGTTGGACAACACCGATTCTTTTCAGCTTTGGAAATTTCAAATAGATATTTTATTTAAAGCAAAATCATTAGATGAAATAGTCCCAGGGAAAAATAAAGTATCAACAACAGATGAAGAAAAAATCCAAAATGAATGGAAGAGAAAAGATACAAGAGCACAGCATATTATAGTTTCAAGAATAGAAAAACAGGTATGTTCACACATAATGAGTGCTAAAACATCAAATGAAATGTTCGAAAAATAATGCCAAATATATGGTAGAGAAAATGAACAACAGAAATGTTTATTACTACAAGAATTTTTTAAATATAATTTTAAAGAAGATAGTGACATGGCTTTTCACATTAGTTCTTTAAAAAATATGCAGTATATGTTAAAAAATATTGATCGATCAATCTCCGATGACGTGCTTATATCAACAATTTTGTCAACATTGTCAAATAAATACAAGTATTTTGTGACAGCTTGGGAATCAACACCAACTGAAGAGAGAAATTTAGATCATCTGACGTCTAGACTTCTCGCGGAGGAGTTTTTTTTTTTAATAATAATAGAAAATAACTTTATTCTGGGACAAAGTCCCTTTAGAATAACAAAATAGAACATAATTAAAATACTACATCTGGCCAAAATAAAACAATAATAAAAAAGAGAAAGTAACGAAAGTAACGTCGTTGATCAGAAGACGAAACTAAAGAAGTTGCATTTAAAACAACTGAGAAAAAATGTTTTAAATGTAATAATGTTGGAAACATTGCAAGATTCTGTAAAAAACAAGAAGAAAATAAAGAAAGCAAGTTTTGTAAAATATGCAAGAAGAGAAATCACATCACAGAAGAATGTTGTTTTAGAAGAAAACATACTAGTAAAAACAGTGAGCACCCTAAGAAACATGCATTCTTAACAAAAACTCATAGCAGTATAGATAATAAATCTTTTGTAGTTGATAGTGGGTCTTCTTCTCATATGACAAATGACTTATCATCAATAGAAAACTGTTCTGATGTTGCAATAGCAAAAAAGAACCACTCTATGCAAGTGAATGGGTCTGGAAAAATAGAAGGTAAAACTTGTATACTAAATGATGTTTTGTATGTACCGGATTTATGTAAAAACTTTATGTCGATAAATGCAATTACTGAAAATGGAGGAAAAGTTATCTTCACCAAAAATAGTGTATTGGTTCAGAAAAATCATGAAGTCATTTTGCAGGGAGAAAAGCAAGAAAATGGATTATACACTGTCAATATTGAAAAACCTCAAAAGGAAACATATTTGGAAAATATCAAATGCGCAGTTATTGCATCAAAAAATTGGAATGACAAACTCAAGAAACTCATAGGGATGGTGGATGGAATAAATGATACTGAGCCAGAATTGAATAGCCTAGCTGACATCTGTGAGGTATGTATTAAATCCAAACAAACTCGTTTGCAGTATGTCAAATTATCCATTCTGATTCGTGTGGTCCAATATCTCCAGCAACATATGACCAAAATAGGTACATATACATATAGCCATGTTAGATGGTTATACTCACTTTGTCAAAATTTATTTGTTAAAAACTAAAGATGAGACTGAGGAATGTCTAAAAAACTATATCAATGAAACGGAAAGGTTTCATAACTTAAAAGTTTCAAAATTAAAATGTGATAATGGTGGGAAGTATTCAAGTTTAAGTTTTAAAAATTAGTGCCGAATTCTAAAATAAAGGTATTATTTTAGAATACTCAATACCACACACACTGCAACTAAATGGAAAATCTGAACGTCTAAATAGAACACTTTTAAATAAATCGAATAAATCGAAGTCCAACAGAAGGCATAGTACTAGCGGCAAGGTGGTATGGTAAAGTGCCAGACTTATCAAGACTTCAAATTTTTGAAACTACTTCCTTTGCGAAACAAGTAGGACTTATAAAAAAATTGGAGTGTAGAACTAAAAAAATGATATTCGTAGGATATTCTCTAAATGGGTATAGACTATGGCACCCCGAAAAATATAAAATATTTATATCCAGAGATGTAGTGTTCATAACAGAAATGGGGAATGAAAGATCTTCATCGGATCAACAAATATTTAAAATAAACTTACAAGACAATTATTCAGAAGATAAAGAAGAAACTGAGGTGCAGTTAGAAGAAGATGAGAGAAATGTTGACACAGTCGATGACAACTCAACAGAAGGAGGTACTGCAGATGCAGTTGTGGAACGATTGAAAGAAGCAACTAAAACTCAATTGAATAGTTTAGAAGGCGAAAGAAACGATGTTGATAATCCTGTTTTTGAATCAGATCAATATGTACGTAAAAGAATGAAAAAAACCTCCTGAAAAGCTCGAAGATTTTGTATTACATACATATAATGAAGCTGTCAATGGGCCTGAAAAACAAAAATGGATAGAGACCTTCAACTCAGGAATGAATTCCCTCAAAGAGAATAAAACCTGAATCTTAGTAAACAGAGGTGAAGTGAAAGAGAAAAAGATTTTAAGTAATAAATGGATTTTTAAAATTAAAGACAATAGAAAATACAAAGCAAGACTCGTTGCGAGAGGTTTTGAGCAGGAATATGGTTTAGATTTTAATGAGACTTTCAGTCCAGTAGGCTGCAACGAATTGCTAAGAATAGTATTGGCAACAGCAATTAAAAATCAACATCATATTTTGAAATTTGATATTAAAACTGCATTTCTATATGGTGATCATGAAGGATTATATATGGAATTACCTGATGGATATGAAGAAAATAACCATAAGTGCAAATTACAAAAAACAATTTATGGATTGAAACAAGCATCCTATAACTGGAATAAAAGGTTTACACACTTTTTAAAACAGGAAGGTTTGTTTGCACTAAAATCTGATCAGTGTGTTTTTGTGAACAGTGATAGAAGTGTTATTCTTGCAATATACGTAGATGATGGATTATTAACAGGCATTGATAAAATACAACTTTTAAAGCTTCTTGAAAAACTCAAGGAAGAGTTCCAACCAACAATTGAAAAAAAACCAACTTCCTTTTTGGGCATGGAATTGGTCGTAAAAGAAGGCTTGATACTAATTCAACAAAATTACGCAAACCAGATTCTTGAACGATTCCGAATGAAGGATGCAAACCCTTCCGTGACACCTATGGTGCAAAAAAAAAGAGAATAAAATGCAATTACTTTATCAGACAAGCAGACCAATTACCCTTTCCGAGAAGCAGTAGGTAGCTTATTGTATCTAGCTACAAAAACTAGACCGGACCTGTGTTACTCTGTAGGATATGAAAGTAGATACATGGAAAATCCGACTAGTCAAGATCTCGCAAATCTGAAACGTATAGTGAGATATTTAAAGGGAAGTCTTAACCAAGGAATCGCCTTTGGAGAGGATGGCGAATTAAGAATCACAGCTTACTGGTCGGACTATGCAGGTGATGAGGAGACACGGAGGAGCACATCAGGATTCATCATTTTCTACAAAGGAGGACCAGTTTGTTGGAGATCGAGGAGGCAGCCAATTGTGGCTTGAAGTAGTACTGAAGCTGAATTCATTAGTGCTGCTGAATGTTGTAAAGTCTATACATCAAAAAGCTGATCGAATAATTCACAAATAATGAAATAAAAACGACGATGCTAATTGATAACCTCAGTAACATTAACCTTATTAGAAAAGGGATTAAGAACAAACGAAGTAAGCATATTGATGTTCGTTATCATTTTTTGAAAGCCGTTTCTGATGAGAACATTGTAAATTTTGTCCATTGTGCAA